CCTCCCCTCCCCAGCCTACAGAGCACTGTGGAGCTGGCCTGACCAGAGCTGGCCCTCCCCAGTGCCCCTCCCCTCCCCTCCCCAGCCTACAGAGCGCTGTGGAGCTGGCCTGACCAGAGCTGGCCCTCCCCAGTGCCCCTCCCTCCCCAGCATCCCCCCACGAGCCGTGCCAGCCCCCGGCGGTGGCACTCACCGTTATCACTGTTGTCATCCACTAGGATGACCTCCTTCAGGAGCTGGGAGGGCGTGTGGTTGACCACGCTGTGCACGGAGCGCAGGATGACCGAGAGGGCCTCGTTGACAAAGATGAAGACCACGGACACCTGGGGCAGGTCTTTGGCGTAGGTCATCTGTCTGCACCTGCGGGAGGCACCGTGCTCAGTGGAGGCCGTGATGGCCGCTGGGGAGCAGGGGCTGCCGGAGGCCCGGCCGGACCAGGCCCGGGGCGTGTGCAGGGCAGGGTCACAGAGCTGCGGCCTCACGCTGAGCCTTGGGACAGGCTGGAGGCTGGAGCCCGGTGGGCATGTCCTGCCGCCCCATGTGGAGCCTCTCCCCTCACTGTGCAGCAAGAGGACCTGTGAAGTCCAGCAGAGGTTGAGGGGCCAGAGGAACAGGGTACCCGCAGGGTCAGGGCAGCACCCTTGGGGTCAGGGCCGCACCCGCAAGGTCAGGGCAGCGCCCCTGGTCCCTGAGCAGGTCACAGACTCCAGGGAAGCCCTGCACCAGCCACAGTTTGTCACCCAAGGTTTGTCCAGGTCGGGGTGATGGACACAGCAGAGGGCAGGGTCCACGAGGGGCCGCCCGGCCGCCCAGGGCCCCGCAGGCAAGGCTGCAGACTGGGGGCTCCGGGGCTGAGGTCAGCTGCTGCTGCCTTTCCCACCGTCAGACACCTCCCAGCAGGGCCCGCCCTGCCCCACCGTCGGCCCAGGTCCAGGGGCAGCCCTTCCTCCTTTCCCCTGGGACTGTGTGGGGCAGCTTCCCACGTGTCAGCCCCTCCGTCCACATCCATTCCTCCTCGGGCTGAGATGGGGCCGATGCCCTGTGGCTGGCCATGTGCCCTTCTGATCTCCTGCTCCAGCTCAGAGCCCACGGTCTCCCCGGGCTGAAGCAGGGCATGGCGCTGGATCTGGGCTTTTCTGTGGATACCCTGTCCCCACCCCAGCCGGCGCACAGAGTTCTTCTGCGGACTGGTGGATGCTCATGGTGGGCAGAGCGGGTGAGGCTGGAGCTGGGTCTGAGCACCAGGAGACAGATGCTACAGAGGTTCTGGATAGCAGCTGAGCGGAGGGGCTCCACTCCATCAGACCTGTCCCAGGCCGTGGAAAACACAGAGGCAGCGCGCTACCGGGCTCCGGAGCTCCTCTGGGGGCTTGGCCACGATCGAATCGGGGTTCACAGGCTGCCCTCGGGGTCCTGGGAGCAAGCGTCTCCTAGGGGCACAGCCTCAGTCCGGACAGCGGCACCTGTCTCCTGCCAGGGACCGCGCTCAGCCCCGGCGGACAGGAAGCCAAGGGCCAGGAGCCCTGCCGGCGTTCCTGGGAATCCAGGCCGGGGAGGTTCTCAGGAGGTGGGTCAGGGAGCTCGTTCTGTGCGGGCATCTTCCCGCTTCCCGCCGGCTCCTGCCCTGGCAGAATGTGTGAGCTCAGAATCCACAGCAAAGCGGCCCTGCCATGCCATCCGCCTGCGGCCAGCCACGCGGCTGAGCAGGAGACGCCGTCTCTGGTCGCCAGCTCCTGGGAAGAGGGAGCAGCTCAGCCCTGGGTCCGCGGGCGTTTCACGGCTAACACGGAGTCTGTGTCCACTTTCACTGAAGGGCAGGACCAGCCTCGTTGTCAGGCTCTGAATCCGGCAGATTCCCGACCCGTGTCTGAGGGGGAAGACAGGCACCGCACGGGCCCCTGGCTGCAGACTCGGCGTGTCCACCGCGGGAATGCGCGTGGTCCTGAGGGCTCCCTTCAGGCCCCCGGATCAACAGGCAGAAGGGAGGGTCTCCTACAGGTCCCAACCAGGCACAGGGCAACCGGACAGGACAGGGCCCACGGCCAGGCCTCGGGCTGGCTGGCCGCAGCCCCAGCCCCGGCAAAGAGGGAAACCCGGACAAAGGGCACGTCTTCTCTCATAAACCGAAGCAAGGTCCAAAATATACCAGGACTCTGGGTGTCACACACAGAGACCAAAGGAGGGTACTCGGGAGGAGCACAGAGGCGCACCGCCTGCGGTCTCTAGTGATAGAAGATACTGTCTGCCCAAACTCCAGGAAATGGAAACGAGAGGGTCTTTTCTTTTTGTCTTGTTTCCTCACTCACCTGTCTTTGGGAGGGTCAAGGGGCACAGAGAAGGAGGGGCGAATGCAGTAGTGGAGCTCACTAGACAGTTGAAAATAAACTACACTGTGAGGGGAGGGAAAACTGGTACTCAGTGAGGGAAGGGAGGGAGGGAAGGAGGGGGGGATGGAGGGAAGGAGGGAGGGAAGGAAGGAGGGACGGAGGGAAGGAGGGAGGGAAGGAAGGGGTAAAAAAGGAAGGAAGAAGGGAGGAAAGGAGGGAAGGAAGGAGAGAAGAAAGGAGGAAAGGAAGGAGGGAAGAAAGGAAGGAGGGAGGAAGGAGGGAGGGAAAGAAGGAAGAAAGGAAGGAAGAAGGGAGGAAAGGAGGGAAGGAAGGAGGAAAGGAAGGAGGGAAGGAAGGAAGAAAGGGAGGAGGGAAGGAGGGAGGGAAAGAGGGAGAGAAGGAAGGAAGGAGGGAAGGAGTGAGGAAGGAAGGAAGGAGGGAGAGAGGGAAGAAGGGAGCGAGGGAGGGAGGGAGGGAAGGAGGAGGGAAAGAAGGAGGGAGGGAGGGAGGGAAGGAGGGAGTGGGGGAGGGAAGGAAGGAGAGAAGGAAGGAGGGAAGAAAGGAAGGAGGGAGGAAAGGAAGGAAGGAAGGAGGGGAGGAGGGAAAGAGGGAGAGAAGGAAGGAGGGAGGGAGGGAAGGAAGGAGATAGAAAAGGAAGGAGGGAGGGAGAGAGGGAAGGAAGGAAGGAGGGAAGGAAGGAGGGAAGGAAGGAAGGAAGGAGGGAAGGAAGGAGGGAAGGAAGGAAGGAAGGAGGGAAGGAGGGAGGGAGGGAAGGAGTGAGGGAGGGAAGGAGTGAGGGGAGGAAGGAGGGAGGGAGGGAAGGAGTGAGGGGAGGAAGGAGGGAGGGAGGGAAGGAAGGAGCGAGCTGGGGTGCCTGCCCAGGCAAGCAGGCAAGCAGGCAGTCAGGCACAGACATGCCTGCCTCCAGAGGCTCACATTTCCCAACTCTGCCTGTCCTGGCCACACAGACTGGAAGCTAGCATCCACTGGATTGGGCCTGAGGTGCCCTCAATTCACCATCCACTAAATCCGCTCTATTAGAGTTGGCAGCTTACGCAGTTTTTCGCAGGGGGACTGCCAGCACGAAGGGGCCGCATCACCACGCCGGATCGGGGGCTTCTTGGGGAAGGCATCTGTTTTACGGTACTGTTTAAGTTGGATTTGCCGGCTCCCTTTTCTCATCCCATGGGCAGGTCTTAATCATCAAGCTCTACTGTTTGTGTGCTTTGTGGCATGATTAAAGCCTCTGCTTCATTAGAAAAGCTATCCACCTCCAGACAAAGGGAAATCAATGATGCATCTGATGGGAAGACGCTTGAGAACCTTTGTTTGCGTGGATGGAGCTGCCTGTGAGATGGAGCATGTGAGGGTGTGGGTGTGCACACACGCACACAGTGCACACACGCACACAGTGCACACACACGCACATGCACACACGCACAGTGCACACACATGTACACACGTGTACACACGCACCCACACGCATGTGCACACACATGCACATGCACACATGCACACAGTGCACACTCACGTGCACACACTCACGTGCACACACGTGCACACACGCACACAGTGCACCCACACGCACACAGTGCACACACGCACACAGTGCACACACATGCACACACACGTGTACACATGCACCCACATGCACGTGCACACACACAGTGCACACGCGTGCACACACGCACACACGTGTATCGAGATCTCTGCCTCGGTGTTTGGAAAATGCAACCTGCCACATGGTTACAGTTAGGAGGACCGCAGCTCCAGGCGCCCACGGCTTCCACCCAGCTTCCTCTACACCACTGTAGACGCGGCTGGAGCGCTGGTGCTGTGCTCAGGTGAGTGGGGGTCATGCCGGATGGACGTGGGCTTGTCACAAAGGAGTCCGTTGCTTGGTCTCCCCCACCCCTCACGTGAGGACGCAGGAGCAGCGCAGGCCTTGCCCTGGTAGCTAACATCCAGCCTCAAACACGGTGAGATAAATTCACCACCTTCAAGCAACACCACAGGGCTGTGGGGGCCAGCTGCCCATGGCTGGCCTTTTATTTCCCAGCAGCTCCCGCAGCGCTCCAGCTCAGTCTCCTCTGGCTGGCTCTGGGTGTGTACCTCCCTCACAGGCCACACCCTGGACAGGAGCTGCCCCTCAGGAGAGGAAAGCGGCCCGAAAACCAAACCACGACCTCTGGCCACACTTGCTCTGGGAGGTCTTCCCCTCCATAGTGTTCCCAGGAAGGGCTCCCCCAGGCCTCCCTTCCAAGTGCAGGGACCGCTGCCCGACAGGCAGGGCTCAGGCTCACAGCACACACCCTGAACCTTCTTCTGACCCAGAATTTGAAGGCAGTGTCCAGCTCCCTGGCCGGCTCAGGATACAAATAATGCAGATTTCTTCAGAGTTTGAAAAATGCCTACAGTAAAAGAACCAAGCACCAAATATACAAAGACATTTGGGGGTGGTGCAGCCACCAGAATAGGGCTGGAGGAGCCCAGGACGGCACCACGGCTGGGGACACGCACAGCGGGGCCTTACCTGCCTACCGCCACAGGGGACCCCGAGATTCAGCCTGTCTTCCACCCTCATCCACGCACAGGCCAGGCAGAGGAGGGCTGACCCGCCACAGCTCACCTCCAAGGGGTGAGGCTCGGGGCTGGGGAGGGTGGCAGGCTGCAGCTCCCTCGGCCTCCCTGCCCGCCCCAGGAGGCCACCCCAGAGACACTGGGGCGGAGGGGCAGCGGCCCGCCTCCTCTCACCTCAGCCTTCCTTCTGGACGAGGAGGTGCCACACTGCCGCGGCCCTGGCCCCGACTACCCAGCCCAGCACAAGCGTCCGTGCGGCTGCTGCCCAGGCCTGCCCTCTCCGGACTCCTGCCCTGCTGGGTTCCAGACAGGAGAGGAGCCACGGAGAGTGGACTCCAGGCCCGGAGGTTGTGAGTGTCCGCCCTGGCTGGTCCCTTAATGGGGCCCTTGTTCAAGTCCAGCCACCAGGCCCCTCAAAAGGTTTTAGAGCAGAGCACAGTGGCAGGGGCCTGGGACTCGGTCCTTCATGGTGTAGGGCAGCGGGGCCAGGGCAGCGGGCGTGGTGGCTTGTCTGAACCTCCTGCCACAATGGGGGGGGGGAGATCAAGGCCTTGACAGATCCTAACGGAAGAGCAGCACCTTTCAGACTCACAGACTCACTGAACAACACCCCCATCCCCCCGCATCCCAGCCCCGGGCTGCGGCCCCAGAGGCCCCGGCCCCCTCACCTCTTGGGCCTGTAGTCGGGGATGGACCTGTCGAGGGAGATGCGGTCGCTGAGCTGCGCGTTGTAACCGAACTCCTCAAACTTGCCTTCAGTCTCCTGGCTGTCATCCCGCAGGGTGGCCGCCAGACCCCCCTGGCCCAGGCCGCCTGGGCCCTCCACCAGCCCGATGGGCTTCGCAAGGCCTGGAGGGACAAGGAGGCTCAGGTCACAGGATCCAAGGAGCTGGCCACGGAGGACCCCTGACCCCCAGCACACGCTTGCAGGACCCAACACTGACTGGAAAGCGCACAGTGGAGCTGGTAGAGGGCAGTGGGCCGCGCCTGGGGCTCGGGGACACTGACGGGGCAGGTCACCCGAAATCCCCCACCACAGGAGGCATCCGGCCCTGCACGTCCGACTCTAAGAACAGCCGGGACTGCTGGTCATTGGGTGGCCGTCGGAGGGGCAGGAAGGGGGCTCCGTGTCCACTCTATCTGCCTGAGTCATTGAAACCCTTTCAAATCCAAGCAGGGAAGGCTTTGAGCCGAAATTGCAGCCACGGGGGAACGGCAGCTCCGGGGTGCTAGGAAGGAAGCCAGGCCCAGAGAAAACCCGCTCCTCTGTCTCGACAACCAGGCAGGCCTCCACCCCTGGCCCTCTGGGGCAGCTGGGTGGGGACTCACAGGTGCCTGAGCCTGGGCACCCTAGGCAGGTGTGGGCAGGTGTGGGGTACCGGGCAGGTGTGGGGTACTGGGCAGGTGTGGGGTACTGGGCAGGTGTGGGCAGGTGTGGGGTACCGGGCAGGTGTGGGCAGGTGTGGGGTACAGGGCAGGTGTGGGGTACTGGGCAGGTGTGGGCAGGTGTGGGGTACAGGGCAGGTGTGGGGTACAGGGCAGGCGTGGGGTACTGGGCAGGCGTGGGGTACTGGGCAGGTGTGGGGTACAGGGCAGGTGTGGGGTACTGGGCAGGCGTGGGGTACAGGGCAGGCGTGGGGTACAGGGCAGGCGTGGGGTACAGGGCAGGCGTGGGGTACAGGGCAGGCGTGGGGTACAGGGCAGGTGTGGGGTACAGGGCAGGCGTGGGCAGGTGTGGGGTACAGGGCAGGTGTGGGGTACAGGGCAGGCGTGGGGTACAGGGCAGGTGTGGGGTACAGGGCAGGCGTGGGGTACAGGGCAGGTGTGGGGTACAGGGCAGGCGTGGGGTACAGGGCAGGTGTGGGGTACAGGGCAGGCGTGGGGTACAGGGCAGGTGTGGGGTACTGGGCAGGTGTGGGGTACAGGGCAGGCGTGGGGTACAGGGCAGGCGTGGGGTACAGGGCAGGTGTGGGGTACAGGGCAGGTGTGGGGTACTGGGCAGGTGTGGGGTACTGGGCATGTGGGGGGTATCATGCAGGTGTGGGGTACTGGGCAGGTGTGGGGTACTGGGCAGGCATGGGGTACAGGGCAGGCGTGGGGTACAGGGCAGGTGTGGGGTACAGGGCAGGTGTGGGGTACTGGGCATGTGGGGGGTATCATGCAGGTGTGGGGTACCGCACCCTGGGCCCTGCCCTGGGTGGGGGTCATGAGCTGGGCCTTGGGTCCTGCCCTAGGTGGGGTGGTGAGCTGGGCCTTGGCCTGCCCTGGGTGGGGTGGTGAGCTGGCCCTTGGGCCCTGCCCTCGGTGGGTTTGTGAGCTGGGCCTTGGGCCCTGCCCTGGGTGGGGGTCGTGAGCTGGGGTCCCAGCCCAGGGGTGCGGGAAGTAGCTGGCCTCTGCACAGCCAGGGAGCGTCTCCACTACACACAGCCAAGCCCTTCAGCCTCCAGGACACCTGGGGGATTCTGGAATATTCCATTCGAAATGCACAAATCTAGTATCGATATTTAAGTGTGATTGAAAGCTACACATTTAAAATTGAAAACTGATGACACAATCATTCTCATTTTTATCTTAATATTGCAATGTGTCTGTAAAATCTTGTTATTTTTAACGTCTCTGCCACACTCACATCTAGAGAGAGAGAAGGGGGGGTGTCCAGCCATGACAGATGTGTGGCTGCTGGAAGACTAGCCGGCAGCCAGAGTGTGTGCAGCCAGGGGTTGGGGCCTTGCTTTTTCTCTAGTAAAACAGGTAAAGCAGGTATGTGTTGAAAAATGCACACCGTCCAGAAACCAAAGCCTCTGCCTGCCCACCCTCCTGCCCCTCCAGCTCCACGCCCCAAGAAAGGCCGTTTTGCTGCTTTGTGTTCTTTTGTCTGACAAGTGTGCAGACCAGCGTCTGCTCAAAGCAGACAGGTCCCTGGCTCCTGGCATGAAAAGTGAGTTCAGTCCACTTCCACCTCTGCCTACGTCCCTACCCCTGTTCCGCTTCCCCCATGTTGCTCAGCTCTATTTTTAGATATTCTGGTGGCTACCGTGGTGACTTGGGAAGAATGCTGGAGGCTCTACTTCTGGGAGGGTGACCTTAGCACCTGTCCCCTGAGGCCCCCCAGGCCAGCACAGGGGTGGAAGTTCCAGCCCGGCGTAGCTCTTCAACGCCGTCCAGGGCAGCCACAGCTCGCCATGTAACTACAGCTGGGCTTCCATCACGCTTGGCCGCAGGTGGCAGCCCATACCTGGCCTGCAATCCCAGAAGCATAGGAAGCCGAGAACAAGAGGGTCCTGGTCGCAGGCCAGTCCAGGCAAAAACGCCATCTCCACAGAGCAAGCCCAGTGCACACCTGTCACCCTGCCTTGGTGGGATAGACTTGGGTGGATGGATCTGGGGCTCAGGCACACCTGGGAAATGAGACCCCATTTCAAAACTAAACTAACAAAAAGTAGAGCTGGGACCATGGCCCAGTGATAGGCCTGGCAAGCAGAGGCCCCGATTCAACCTCCAGTATCACCAACCAGCAGAAGGAGAAGCAAATCAGCCCGGGCCACGTGTGGCTGTGTGCAGCCCGCCCAAGGGGCCACAAGGCTGGCCTGTGCATCCATCTCTAGCTAACATCGGCCACCGAGTGAAGAATTTCATGGAGGCAGGTGGAGGAACTACAGCACAGAGGGTCAGGCAACAGGTTCAGGTCACAGTCCGTGAGCACTGGATCCCAGTCTTCCCCGAGGTAGTCCGGCCGGAAGCCCATGCTCTCAGGGCAAATGTGGCCCACTCCCCAGAACTCACCTCAGGGCGCCCTGCTTCCCTGTTTGAACCAATGTGCCCGGTCACCGCCCTGGATTTCCCCTCACCCCCATGCTCAGCCAGGCGGCTCCATCACTTCCCAACTCCCTTCTCTCAGGTCTGGGGCTTCCTTCTTAACTGAAGCAGTCTCAAAGACATATCCAAAGGGCTGTGTGGAAAGCAAACTTTCTGAGATGTCTGAAAATTGCTGCTGCTGCTGCTGCTCCTTCTTCTTCTTCTTCCTCCTCCTCCTCCTCCTCCTCCTTCTTGTTATGTAGTGATACAAAGGGATTACAATTCTGCAAGTCAGTTATGAGTACAATGCTTCTTGGTCAATATCACCCCTTCTTTCATTGAAAATAGCTTTCACAAGTGATGGATAACTTTGCTGGGTATAGAATTCCAGCAGGTCAGCATCTTCTCTTCCTTGAACCAGACCAGGGGGGGTGGCAGAGTTCTGATGTTAGGAAGGTCTGCATGCCTTTGTCAGGCCTTCATCCTGCCCCAGGTCTGCATGCCTCTGTCCTGCCCCAAGGCCTGCATCCATGCTGCACCGAGGCCTGCACGCCTCCACCCCGCCTGTCCACCTTTGGAACCTGGCGGTGACTTCTCCTTCCACACACAGCTGCTCTAAGATCATCGATTCCACATGTGTGATCCTAGGTCTCTAGCCCCTCCTGGATGCCTGACCCTAGAGTCCACCTGAATGCCTGACTCTGGACGTCCATGGGGAAGGAAAACTGGCATTGCAGAGCAACTGAGGCCGGCTCAGTCCAGGGACTTGCTTGGAGGTCACTGTGTTGGAATGAGGCCTCACAACCGCCCACTCTTGGGTCAGGGCTCACATTCTTGCCTGAACACAGGTCTGCCTGGGGGCCCCATGAGGCGTGACCGTGCACTGGCTGGGGAGATTGGAGAGAACAGCCTGGAGCTGGGGTGGAAGTCAGAGCTGCCACCTCAGTCTGGGTTTCTCCATTCATGGTTCTCTGGAACCAGGAAGATCAGTAACAGCACTGCAGATTGAAAACCCACGATTAGATCTCACTTGTAAGGAAGGTCTGTGCCCACACCTCCCTGCAGGCTCCGGCCTCTCATCTTCCCCTGCTGCTCTTACCCCTCGTTGGCTTCTATCCTGTTTCACAGAGACTCCTTGTAAAGAGGCAGAATTGCTTGATCCCACCAGGAATGGAGGCCGGCGAGGATGTGGGGCCGGTTTCCAGCCCACGTCTGACTGTGCTGACCGCCGGTGAGCCACCCCTGCCCCATGATGTGCTGGGACCCACACCAAGCAGGCCGCCCAGCCAGCATCCCCAGGCCTTTGAATGTGAAGGCCCAGACTGTACTGCTTTCTTCCTTCCTTCCCACCTGTGTCCCTGGCTTCACTGCCAGCCTGGAGCAGGACCCAGTGCAGGTCAGTCCTGCCCCAGCCTTCAGGATAAGCAGCTCTGATGAGCAGAAGCTCTGTTGTACCCAGGAAAGAGCAAAAGGCTGGTTTCTACCCCCATCCCCAAACACAATCAGGACTTAACTCTCAGAACCAGTGACCATGGCTTGGAATGGGGTCTCTGTGAGTTGGGTGCCAGTGGCTCAAACCTGTAATCCTAGCTACTCAGGAGGCTGAGATCTGAGGATCGTGGTTCAAAGCCAGCCCGGCAGGAAAGTCCATACCACTCTTATTTCCAATAGACCACTCAGAAAAAGCCAGAAGTGGCCCTGTGGCTCAAGTGGTAGAGTGCTGGTGTGGACCAGCCTTGCCAGGGGGCAGGAGATGCTGGTGTGCCGTCTTGTTGGGTGATTAGGAGGTAACCATGGCCCACTCAGCATAGGGCCTGGGGCACCCAGCCTGGGCTCCTTCCTAGGAGCACAGGGGCTTTTCTTGACATCCTGTGCAGTGGGAGAACCGAGTCCAAAAGTGCCCAGACCCCCGACCCCAGGGGTGAACAGGGGCTGCTTGGTTTCCAGCCTCGGATGCTTCTCCTAGCAGGAAGGTGTGAGAGCCTCCCTCCCGCAGAAGATGGATCCTGAGAACAACCAGAAACTTGTCCCCCTTAGCTCAGCTCTCAAACATCTGCCCCACGGAATTCTGGGAGACAGAGCCCACATCTCCAGCCCTCTTCTGTGGGCTCTGTGGATGGTGGCCAGGGTGGCCACAGAGCACTCGCCTTCACCCTAGATCGCAGGACCCCCTCGCAGGCAGGGCACACGTGGCCCGACAGAGTGGAAGAGGCGCAAGGCCAAGCCACAGCCATCTCTGAGAGCTTCCAAGACCCAGGAGTCACCATGACCCTCTCACGCAGCTTCCTGGGGGCCGTGTCCCCAGACACCTCCATCGGTCCCACGGAGCAGCTTCTTGGATGGAACGTGGGCCTCCAGGAGGCGTCTTCCATGCCCGCCCTCAAGGCTCAAGTACGGAGAAATCCTACAGGACGGGGACAAGGGTGGTGTGAGACCACCCAGGCCACGTGAGGGGTCCAAGCCTGGCTCCGTGTTGATGGCCAGCAGAGGGGCGGGCGGAGCGGGTGTGACCGGCCCTCCCCGTGTGTCAGGCGCTGGCTCGGAGGCGGACGCCGGCATGACGGCTGTGCCGCAGCTGCATTGGCTTTTTTTTTCTTTTTTTGGTCGGTTGTGGGGTCTGAACTCTGGGCCTGGGCGCTGTCCCTCAGCTCTTCAGCTCAAGGCTAGCGCTCTACTGCCTGAGCCACAGCGCCACGTCTGGCTTTTTCTGCATATGTGGTGCTGAGGAATCGAACCCAGGGCCTCAGGCATGCGAGGCAAGCGCTCTACCACTGAGCCACCTTCCCAGCCCCTGCATTTGCTTTTGGCCACCACAGAGAACTCTTGTCATTACAGGCGAGGCTCAGGGTGGTTTGAATAATTACCTTTTAATCCACCACAGACTATTCTATCTATGTGCAAACACCTGCTTGGTGATTCCCGTACGCTTACAGATTGACCAGTCCATCGATCATTTGATAAACTACAAAGGGTTGTTTACTTCAGGAATGGAGCCACAGGTCAAAGGCGCGGGTATTTCTATGGATTTTGGTGTCAAATTCCTTTTCAGGGAGGTTGGATTTGTTTGATTTTGCTGCCAGCAAGGTATGCGTTTACTTCTTTAATTAGAAAGACTGTTTGCCCTGATGGAAAAGTCATGCGTGCTTATTGTCGGAATCTCTGAAAGCATGGCGGTCACCCAGGGTCCCACCCACACGGGAACCAACTCCAATGTCCAGTGTGGACTGCATGGCGGTGAGCACTCTGGGCTGCCTGCCATGTCTCTGGAGATCCCCGTACTCATCTCTTCGATGGCTGAAAGCATAAAGAGCTGGCCCTGCGCAGCACCATTAATTCATTTGCCTCCATAAAAGCAGGCAGGGCACCTCCACATGCCAGGTGCTGTCCAGGCAGGAGGGCCCCGTCAACCCGGGAGCTTGTCATCCGACAGGACTGACCACCCTGGCCATGGCTGAAGCTGCCTGGCTAGGACAAGGGGTGGGCAGCTTCCCCACGCCGGGCATCACACCATGGTCAGGATGGGGGTCTGGCAGGATGCCCTGAGTGTAGGGAGTCGTGTGGAAGGACTGATTCACGGGGACAGCAGGGAATGGGCCATGGGGGTCTGAGCTCCGACAGGACAGGGCAAAGAAGAGGACGTCTGTTAGGTCCCACATCCGATGAGTCTCTGCAGTAAACGGGGCAAGGGCTCTGGGCGCCGAGGAAGGGGGCAGCAGGAGAGGCCTCTCCGGTGCGACAGGACCGTAGTGTCTACCACAGAGCACAGGGGAGAGCCAGGCGCAGGGAAATCCAAGCACTCAGGCGTGCAAGTGTCAGGCTGTGTGCCCACACGTGCATGTGCATGCACACGTGCATGTGCTGGTACTGGGGCATGAACTTGGGGCTTGGGCACTGTCTCTGAGTTTTGTTTTGTTTTTTGTCAGTCGTGGAGCCTGAACTCTAGGCCTGGGCGCTGTCCCTCAGCTCTTCAGCTCAAGGCGAGCGCTCTACCACTTGAGCCACAGCGCCACTTCCAGATTTTTCTGCTTATGTGGTGCTGAGGAATCGAACCCAGGGCCTCACGCATGCAAGGCAAGTGCTCTACCACTGAGCCACCTTCCAAGCTCCTGTCTCTGAGTTTTTGTGCTCAAGTCTAGCGGCTCTACCACTTGAGCTATAGCTCTATTTCTGGCTTTGGTGGCCAATTGGAGATGAGTCTCACTGACCTTCCTACCCAGGCTGGCTTCAAACCACAATTCTCAGACCTCAGCCTCCTGAGTAGCTAGGATGACAGGTGTGAGCCACCAGTGCCTGATTCCATTTCTGCTTTTGTAAGTTTTCAGCAGGCACACGTGACTCACATAGCCTAAGACCCGCTGACATCTCTCTCCTACCACAAAACCTCTGGACAAGGTTTGGATTCAGAGGCAGTGATGTGACTTTTAAGAGCAAGAGCAGCTTCTGTGTGGAAGTCGGCCGAGCACAGGCTGCCCGGAAGTCCACATCCGTGCTGTAATTGGAAGCGATGGCTCACTTATGCTCAAGGCTGGCTAATGGCCGCAGTAATTCTACTTTTATAGAATAATCATTTGAAGTTCCATTCCCATGACCCACGGGAGAGTGCTTTTCTAATTACAAGAGATGATTTGGGGTGGATGGCGGTGTGGAGGCTGGGGTGAGGTCCTGTTTATGCTCAGAGCCGGTGCAGCTTGCCTGCCCATCCAGGGTGACTCCGAGCCGAGGAGGACTTGCCTGTTCCCCATACACATCCTCCTGCTGCGCTCTGCCAGAAATGGCAGTCGAAGCTCCTGAAGGAATGTGCCCTTCTGCGTGGTGCTGGTGGCAATATGGAGTAGTGGGGAATGGGCTAACAGATACCCAGGGCTGTGGAGATCAAACTGACCATTACCACCTAGGAGTCAGGGCCAAAGTCTTCCAAGATTTCAAGGGAAGACAATATAGACTTGGTGG